TGAAATAGTAATAGAGACGATTAACTAAATCAGAAATCTCATTCCAGCCTTCTTGAATCAACCCCATCAGATAAAAAAGAAAAATACCTACTCCTCCCCACCCCACATTTTTCAAAAACTGACACTGTCTGCTGAGCTCTCACAAGAGTMTTGTCTGCCACAGTCACTTTCTCCTTCTTGCAATGTGCATTCTCTAAGAAAGTACATGACTGTGGTTTTACTCCATGAAAAGCAAGTAGTGCTTTCTTTTCTTGARAAGGAAATTGAAAACATTGCAGCTAAATGAAAGAGGAATGTTACACAAAGACCTGATAGAACATGCTTTTGTGGAAATGGCTGTTGTTTAAGGGTAGATAAGACTGCTTCTCACAGTCTTTTTCTCATCATGAASTGTGAATTCTCCCCCACCAATAGCCAGTGCTTGTTGGACACACATTTAAATATAGCTCCTCTTGTTGCTGTGAGCCATTTAMAAAACAGTTGGCAGGATGGCCACAGGGAGTCTTGTGATTGCTTTTGTGTGCTTGTGATGGTGATGTGACTGCTGTCTATTGTGTTTTGTGAACAGCATACTGCAAAGTGGGCCTGGGCATCTGCTATGATATGAGATTTGCTGAGATGGCTCAAATCTACGGCCAGAAAGGTAAGGCTGAGTCACCTAATGGGGCATGGTCAGCCCTAAGGCCAGGCCAAGGCAGGGCTGTTTCTGGGTGGTACATCCTGGGTGATCCGTGTGATTAGGCATTCTTCTTTTATTTTCAATTATGTTATTATTTAAAATATTTTATTATTTGAACACAAAATGCATCCTGTGGCCAAGAGTTATTCAGACGAGTGCCTCCTCTCATGGAGTAAAGTAACCATCACTTGCTGAGCCACATTTGGTGGTGGAGTGATGAAGCTGGGGATATCCCCACATCAGGTGGGGATATCACAGTTCTTGGCTGATGTAACTCATTGTGCATGGACAGGCTCTGATTCCATTTTGGGCAGAGGCTGGGAAGTATTGGAAGAAACCTCACCTTGGATTACAATGGGAAGGGCCACTCTGGGGTAAACCATCTTCCCCTTAATGACCTTTTTAATTGTGTCTTAACAAAGGTTGCCAGCTGCTGATTTATCCAGGGGCTTTTAACATGACCACAGGACCAGCTCATTGGGAACTSCTGCAAAGGGGACGGTAAGATCACAGTAACAGCTTATCCTCCTGCTCTACAGGAGTTTGGGTGCATGGAACTGAACTTTCTTGTGTTCCAAATGACAGTGTGACAGAAGGGCTGCTGCAGAGCCAATCTGCCATTGCAGCTGTACCATCCCCAAACCTAGCATGGGACATCAAAGTGTCCATGTAAGGAAATGCTCAGCCTTTACTCCTGTCAACCCCTGTTACGCCCTTTCAAGGACCTTTTCCCAAGCTCCCTTCACACACAAATCCTRCAGAGAAGAGCCAGTAACTATTTGGGAAGTGCTGTAATTATAGGTAGAAATAAAACTCTGAGATTGCTGAGCACAGTATTATTTATTCATTTGGTCAGCTTCAATCAATTTTTCTGCACAGTGAATGAACATGTGAATTACATGATATTTTATGTACTAACTCTGGAGCCCGGTGCTAGATTCTTCTCTTCCCAGTCTCTGCTTTCTCAGACCTTTGTGTCATTCACAGTTTTGGCCAGTCATTTAGAGGATATATAGCTTGTTCTTCAGAGTGGATTCTTTCTCTTCTGCTTAATTAAATGGTATTATAAAAAACAAATCTTCTAACTTTTTCCCTCCCTTCATCTTTCTGTGAACACAGAGCTGTTGATAATCAACTCTTCGTAGCTACTGTATCTCCTGCTAGAGATGAAAAAGCATCCTATGTTGCCTGGGGACACAGCACCGTAGTAAATCCATGGTGAGTTCAATAAACAAAACCACCTTTTTTGGTTAAAAAAATATTTTACCTGACAGTCTCACTTCAGTCCTACATTTCCATCTACTCTTAAAAGTTCAAATTCTTGGCGAAAAGCACATGAGACTTGAGCCTACATTCTTGAAATGATCATTTAAAACTGAATTGAGTGTCAAACTGAAAAAGAAGAAATAAACTAGAACTAGTTTGAGTATATGTTCATTTTTGTAATGAAGATGCTACTTAGTACTAGGATTTATCATAAGTTGAATTGTTGATGGCTGACTTGTCAACTTGTCGCTGAAGTTCAGTCCATTATGCATATGGTATGCATATGGTAATTCTTTGTGTAGAACCAAACCATTTAAAACAGCTTACACAGAACTATCTCATTTCCTCAAAGAAAACACTGCTTTGACATAAGAAAGAACAAGGAGGTCTTCAGCTAGAGAAGAGATTCTGACTCAAGCAGAAGTCACCCAGTTGCACAGGAGGTAAAATCTTCAGGCAGTTGTTTTTCTTTCAGATAAATCTACTGATAGTTCTCTTCAGATGATTGCAGAGTAGGAAAAACTTTGTCTATGTCTTGAGCTTTTAACTTTATATGATGAAAGCACTGACAGAACACTTTGTGGAGACATGGTAAATCATCTTCAGTAGTTCATGCAGAGTAAGAGTACAATCAAAAGTACACTCCTATTAAAAGCCAGTAGGATCTTAACAGGAGAAAGTGTCTTCCCCCATATGGTTGTCTCTCTCCCCTTGAGGTATGCTGCATGCTTGCAGGCACTGGTTCTCAGAGTGGCTTTTACCATGGTTCTTGATCTTTGAAACACACTTATGTCACATATTAAAGCATGCCATATATAAGCCTGGAAGCCATTTCTATCATGCCAGAGTTATGGACTATGATGCTGTTTTTAGGACAGCCCTGTCTTTGCAGCTGTAGGCATCAAGGGTAGGAACTCCTTTTTGTACAAACAGCAGCAACTGGACTGATGAGACCGATGTGTTAATCCTATGAACAAATGTGCTTAATTTTGCAGGGGTGAAGTCATAGCCAAAGCTGGGGCTGAGGAAACAGTTGTATACACAGATATAGGTAAGGGAAAAGTTGTTCTGGTTTTTCCCCCACTTTTTTTCTTCAGACAGTTTTTTAAGTCTGTGGCCTTACACATGCAAGTACAGATGATGCAGCATTCCTCTGCCTTGTCCAGCTTTGTTTGGTTAAAGCAAGAACGAGCAGCACTTGGCTGTTCCATGTGCTGTACTCTCCAGCTGTACTCTTGTAGCTCACTTTCTTACCTTAGGATAGAGCAGAGCTGAGGCTTCCTTCAGTCCTGGCTGCTCACTTGCAATGCCCTACAGGCCCATTCTCCATCAAAGCTGCTRTTTGCCCTGTCTTACATCAAGGCTTTTCTTTTTTGGCTGCTGTTCTCATAACTCTTTTCTTCTCCCCTCCAGATCTAAAGAAACTTGCAGAAATACGTCAACAAATTCCTATTTTGAGCCAGAAGCGTTGTGATCTGTACGGTGTAGAGATGAAAAAGTGAAGCTGGGTGAAGGAAGGTTCAGCTGCCACAATGGCTGTTGCCTTTATCTTTGGAAGGATTTCTTTACTAATTGATCCACAATTTACTGCCAAATGTGCCAGTTAAGAAACCACCACATAACAGAAAACTTGGTGGTGCAATTCTAAAATGATTCAAATATGACTTTTATATCTCCTCTCAAACGGAAGTATTTCATAGTATTTTGCAGCTAGGATAAAGATGGAGATGAAATCAGTTCAACACAGCAGTAATTAACATTGATTTTTACGCATCATAATGTTCTTGTTACCTTTTGAGGGCTTTTTTGTAGAACACTAAATGGAAATCTTGTTCTCTGAAACTCCCTCTCAGCTTTGGTATTATGAATTTTTCAGTGAAATATCAGAAAATCTAGAAGCATGATTCTTCCCACTCTGTCCTTTTTAGATGTACATTCCTTAACTAAGGTCCTTGAATGCCCTACTTCTTACTTGGAAAGCTTTAAATTTAACACACTGAGCAAAACAGGACAAATTCTGCTCTCCACTACTTGGGACAAGGCAAGGAGCTGCCAGACGGAGCTGCTACTATAGAAAAATCTGTAACAGTTTTTGTTTCATGTGTCTTGCCTGGAATATGTGTATTAAACTCTCCTCATGGCAAATCCTRTTTATTGTTCAAGTGACATGAGTTACTGTGTTATTGTAATAATTCATATGTTGCCACACCTTTGCTCTCCATACTGCTTCCTTAATAGAATGTCTGAGTGGGTTTTAATTCTGCTGGAATTTTTCCCCTGGAAAAGGTTGAGGGGAGCCAGTCAGGTTGGAACACTTGTTGCACTGCTAAGTCCTTCTGCCCACAGCCTCCCAGAAGTCTGCTTAATGTTAAATGCATTATTGCTACCAAGGGCAGCTCCTGTCCACCATAGAGAAGATGTCTTATTCCTTACTGCAGCTTACTGCTAGTGCTGCTTTTGCTGGAGACTAAAAAACTGATTGTGAAAGATGGTTTTAAAATACTGAAAACCAACCAAGCATGTTGTAATTTTGATTTTTTTTTCTTTTTTGGAAGGAAGACATCTTTTAATGTAAAAAGAATTTTGAAATTATGCTTTTTATTCCTTGGGATGAAAAAACGAAGCAACTCACCAACCTTCACTAATAAGCTTTCAGTTTCCTAGCAGCATAAAACAGGCTAAAAGAGATTCCAAAATACAAAAATGGGAGGGAGAGGTTTTGTCTTGCTCTAGCTAACCAYATTTCCCCCAAAACCATCTTACCTTTTGTTCATGTTCAGCAATCCTCGTCTTCCCAGTTTTTGGTTTGGTGGGGGTGTTTTTTGATTCGTTGGTTGGTTGTTTGTTTTAATATTACTTTGGCTTCTCTACAATSAGCTTAGTGTGAAAAATTAATGCTCAGCCATGCCCTCATGCATCCTTCCCCTCAAAAGCCAGGTCCCACTGTTTCCCTTGGTGGCTTTATCTGTGCCAGCAGGTTTATCTGATCTGTGCTTTTCACTGCATTGTGGTACACACACTGCACTGGAACTCTTAAGAAACAAGCCACAGAGCACAAGGTGAAATGAAGGTTTATTTGTTGAAAAATAAATATTAAAAAWTTAACAATTTCTCATTTGAGCCAAGTCTCCTGCATTAGATTAGTGCTTCCCACATACTCCACATCCCATATCCATGACAGCCATTGCTGGGCTCCAACTTCTAAATCATAGTAACTATTTTATTTTTTTCCCCTCCCCTCTCTCTGCTAATTCAATGTGCAGCAGTGACTAAATACTACCTTTGGAGGATTAAAGTAGTGCAGGACTTTCATGGGCTGACCACTGAAATCTGAAAAATGCAAAGTGCAGTCTGCAACAGGTAACAAAATCTGTGGTCTGGACTGTCCTCCCCTGGAATCCCAAACAGAGAGGATGGATGAAAACCTGTTACAAGCTACTTTGGTGAATGCAGCCGAAGAGCTGTCATGAACTCAGTTCTCTTCACTCTATCAGGACAAATTCTAAGCACCTGGTTTTTGTAGGGTATTTAGTAGGGTCTCCAGTGTGCTCCACCCAGAAGTGATACAAATGGACTGTGAATATGTGAGGGTTTCACTGAAAAAAAAGTACATTGTCAGTTCTTAGCCATAGTACTTGAAGCAGCCRATACTCAACCTTTGTGTTGGTAGAAAACAGGCACTTTTAAGTATCCATATGACACATGCACCAATATTCTATAAAAATAGGAAACTAACCAGTAACAACCATGAAACGGTTCCAGAATTTCAACCTGCAAGAATTTAAATTCATTTTAAAGAAATGGCAGAGAAGTAGGCAGTGCTAGGATCGCTGGGCTGGTTAAAGTTGCATCAAAGCTGCTCTTGATAGTTCTAGAGTACAGTACAGCTCTTCAGTGTGTRTTAGTGCCCTCTTCCCTTTCAATCTGCAGTTAGATCCTTGTAATTCAAGTCATAGCTTAGAATCATGGAATATGCTGAGTTGGAAGGGACCCATCAGGATGAGAGTCCAACTTCTGGTCCTTTGCAGGACATCCCAAGAATCACACCTTGTGCCTGAGAGCACTGTCCCTGTGAGTAACAGGGATCATACAAAATGAGAATTAAGTTCCTAGATTATCTATGTAGATGCAATTTCCCAGAGTATCTCTCTAGGATACACTGGGTTTATCCAAGTCTTCAGTACTAGCTTCCTACATAATTTCACCCTTTTTTTAAAATAGCAGTAATACTTGTTTCACTTCAAAGTTCACATGCACACCTGGCTTAAAATAAAACCTCAACTCTATCAGCCATTTTTAAAGAGTCCCTTTCACCAAAGGAAYACACCTGCACACACACATTAATAGTGTCTCAAGATTCCCAGCCTTTCTGGCTCAACTTCCTCTCCCCTGTAATCCCCAGCTCTCAAGATCATACYTCTGTGGGTGACAGAAGCAAGCAGAGATCAGATTTGTTTATTCCATGTTTCCTCCTTATTCTTTCTTAAAGGTTGAAGTGAGAGAAGATGACAAGRAGTCAGTCAATTATCCTACATTTGGAACAACATAAGCACAGAGCTCACCACTGCAGAGAACACTTTCACCCAAACCTGTTCTTATACATGTCAGAGAGAGATACTTGAAGGTAGTATTTATTTTTTCAGTTTACAGGTGATATGTCATTTACAAAAAAATTACAGACAATGCATCCTTTCAGTGCAGTTTCAAACTAGTTCAAGAACAGGCAAAAGTCTGTGATGATTTGGAATGCTAGTAATTGACAGCACATGCTTTTTTCCCTTAATTGACTGGGTGGGGTAAGGAATGGAGTACAGATGGGGTGATGAGGAGAAAATGCCAATGTAAATAAGGCCATGCGAATAAAAACTCTTCGGAGAACAGGACTCGTCAGTCTGGCATATTTTTGTTCTCAGGTAATTGATGCAGAGATTGGAAGTTGGAGAAGACATTTGACACTTGTTACGTTCGGTGCCCCTAGAAGCTGCCAGTACCTTCCCAGATCTTCAATTCTAYACCAGTGCTATGATTTCTGATCACCTAATGAGCTACTAAAATAATAATTAAATCTTTATTTCTACTCTCCACCATTTGGATACTCAGCTGTGGTTGCTGGGAAAAGGGAAGGTCAAGCTGAAAATGCAAGCTGCTGCTGTATGGTGGCACAATTACAGAACATGACAGTTTGACTACGGCATCATTAATTTCCTTAAAAGATTAAATACATTAGACAATTCACCACAAACAAATCTATGATTTCAGGATGGAAAGAAGCCCAAAAGTAGTGTGTTGTGAATTAAGTTACATCATTTGCATGAGGTTTGTCCAGCCACATCAATCCAGGGATAAGCAAGATGGACTGACTGACTTCCCCCCAGAACGATCAACCCAAAGCAAAAGGGCCCTTAGTGAAGTTCCTAAYGATAGGAAAATGACATCATCATTTGCCCATCTGCTGTTTGCAGCACAATTGCTTCCTTTCTACAGTATTTGTAATCTTGTACAAGACAGGGTCTACAGGACAAGGAAATGAGTGCAGATTCCAAATCCATTATTGGAAGTTTTAGCCTATGCTTTGTTCCTTTATCTCACTTAATCCTGCCAAGGGGCTCYTAAAAGAAGATGTAAAACAGCAGTCTCTAGGGACTGAAAAGAATTTAGGTARTCTATCAGCTGCTACATTTACGCAAAAGAATCAGAGATTACAAAGATTATATGCAAGCATGACCTTACCTTTCAGAGCTTGACTCCCAGCAGTGATTTCTGTTCCTGAAAGCCCCTCTGAACCCTCCAGAACAATTTCCCGTGACATTCAAGTAAGAGCTGCTGCACAGGAATACAGTCTTTCTGCCAGTAAGGTCTASACTGAAGCAGTGTTACCTGACCTCCTTCCCCAACCAACCTTTTTCCTAGCTTTCCTATACAATACTCTAGGGCTTTTGGGGTGAGAATAAGGACTATCAAATCAATTYCCTAATAGCTGCCATAGGACTATTTCTAAGTGAGTTAGGCAGAGGGTAGAAGGGGATTTAAGGGGAAGATTGTGCATGCTTGCATATATTTACAGGGATCCTCTCCACATCTACTGACTTAAAAAACSCCTCTATTATTAAATTTTGAAAATTAATTTTTGCAAAATTAAAATAAACCCTCAAGGATTAATTGGACATAAAAAGAAACCTATTTTACAGCACTGACTAGTATTACCTTTAGAATCAACAGGAAAAAAACCCACATGCTGTAATATTATTTGATAAAGCAAAAATCGCCCACAACATAATCACCCAAAATGAACCAGTGTGAAGTTTTTATTTGCATGGCCAAAATATGTTCCTTTGGTTCCCCTGCAACTTTATTTCCCTTAACACACTCTAAGGTTTTTGCTGCAGAAGGAACAAGATGCAGCACTGCATACTTCCTTGAACAACCACTCCCACAACACCTAAACATTTAACAGATGTAGCAAATGACAACACCACGAACGGGAAAAAACTAAGTTCCACCATTCAGCATGGTCTGCAACAGCGTCTTTAGGGCTGGCTGAAGTGGGCAACTTCACTTTGGAAGGTCATTTCCTCCTTGCTTCTTTACAGTGTTGGTGGTTTCAATCCATACTTCTTTGCAACTTCTGTCTGGGCATAGGCAGCATCACAGAGTGAGTAGAGGTGGGCCATCTCCATTTCTGATTTGGCCAGGTTGATAGCTTTGTTGAACATTTCAATGGCTTTATCCAGGTTACCTCTGAAATAAAAATTTAGCCCAGTTAAGACTGCCAAAGCAATCTTCCATCTCTAAAACATCTTTTTTTTTTCAGGACTTACACTCTCCACCATTCTTAACTTAAAAAGACTTTGGGAGGAACCACCATAAGAATTTGTGATGATTCTGAGTAAACTCAGAGAATTTGTTACCAASCCTAGGCAACTAGGACAGCTGTTAMACAGCCTTCCTCTTGGAGCYCCCASGGGTGGTGGTGCAGGATAAAATGYTCTCCATTTCACTACACACCAAGWYCACTACAAAGATAATGCTGGGCAACTGAATGAACTCTCATCTTCCCTGAAAGGACTTAGTACACAAAAGAGTAGAACTAGCATAGACAGAAGTATATTATTTAAACAGAAATACTTGCAAACCTTCTCATGGCAATAGTTTAATTGTCTCTCCTTTAGAGGACTAGACATATTAAAAGAAGGCTCAACTGCACTATCAGCTACACCCCCAAGGTTTGCACAATTGCAATACAATGTTACAGAGCAGCACATTCCTTTCTCCCCCAAGAACTGCAAATTGGAGTCCTGTTGGCTGAAGGAGAAAACAGCACAGAATCATCAGTACAGACAGCCCACTATGTCCAAGGACAACATTAGATACACACAAAGCCAKGTAATGATTGAGGAAGTCAATTTAAATGCAGAAGGGATGTATTTAAACACACAGACTCATCTGCATGTTGTCCATTAAGTATGAAATTGGTGATGAGGAGTTGTCAGATTAAAAATCAGAATTACGCCACAGAGAATGGAGGGCTTTACCTAGGAATTACAGACAGAAATTGGGACTTTGGGTAAGAGCCTTGCAGAACACCAGGGAGAAGATCTCAACACTTAYGATCCATAAGGAAATTTAAAGAACTACTGTAACTTCAGAAGTAACTAAGAACTCTTAACAYTGCAATTCAGCATTACCTTTGCACTTCAATCGTTCCCATGGTCTCATATGCAAAATCACATTTGTTATCAATTTCAATGGCCTTGCTTATGAGTTCTAATCCTTTGTCTAAATCTTGCTTCCACTGGAGCTGAAGTAAACTACAAGAGAAAGAAAATTGCAAACAGACTTCACATACTCCTCCCAAAACCCTCATGATAAGCAAAACCATTCCAAATATATAATGTATTTAATTTCTAATACAGGTAGATAGTCACTTAGTAAATTCATGACTTTTAAAAACACCSATGTGAAAGTCACTTTCAATAAGCCACGTTACTGCTTTAATGACTCTGAAGAAAGACAAATTTGTCCAAGAGGACTTCCATCATCCAACAACTTGGATATTGACTCATGAAAATAAAAACTTCAACACAAAGCTGAAACTAAGAGGGCTAAAGGAAAAGTCAGGTGTACTTCAAGCAGATACTCAATTAGCAATGAACAYTGATGGAACTTTCCTGAAATTTATTTACAGTTTAGTCAAAAGAAAATACAGAAATACATTTAAGAGCATTAAGATGCTTTCACAAAGTTATTTTTCCTGTCTAAACTTCTRAACATATACATTCAATTCAGGTTAATTCATCTAAATACACCAACTGCTCCCAACCAAAAGGAYTGCAAACTCAATACRTACCCTTTATGAACATATGTAGTGGCATTGTCTGGCTCAAGGTCAATGCATTTATCATACATTTCATCAGCCTTGCCAAACTGCTGTTGATCAGTTAGTGCCTGAATCAAAAGAGAAACTGTTTGTCAATAWGTAACCACAGTGTGCACTCTGCACTTGGCTAATTCTAATTAAAACTGTATTGACAGTGTGAGATTGRATGTAGTTCATGTATGGTAGAGCAGGCCAGCCACATCAGTTATTAGAGCTAAGTGTCAAAACTGAGGCTTTTTGGAAAACTTCTGTGCTTTAAGTGCACAAATTAGTGACCACACTGTATCACCTGTAATAGGAGATCCACAAGCAACATGCTGGGTGCTATTAATAAAAATCTTTCTAAAACTCTGTACCTGCAAGCTTCAACCCTTCCTTATTCAAATATGCTTTTTCAAAAGGAAATGCATCTATATTGTCTATCTATTTGAAATCAGAAAGTCTCATGCTTCCTACTAAAACATCAGTATGTTTTCTTAGGTTAGAAATTACAGTCTCTATTACAAGTGTACTCCCAACAGCTGTTCTAAACGACTACATGCCACTGGTAGCAGAACAAAAATGTCACCCTAATTCCACACATTTGACTTTCAAATTATTCAGAGAATCTCTGACATTCATCACGTGACAGGCCACACACATGCAGGAAGAGGGGAATGATGCAGAAATGACCTCTSTCTCCTAATAACTACCCTCAACTCTCATTACTTACATCCTGCTCCACCAATTCCCCCTGTACTTCCTCTGCCCCAGAACACCCATAACCATAAATGCAGGCAGCTTATTCAAGACAGCATGTGTTATCATTATTTGAAGAAACATATCCAAAAGTACAAGAGAATTCAGCATTTTCCTTAAGAGAGAGAAAAACATACCTGAGCATAGAGTGCATAGCCCTCAGCACACTTTGGGAATTTTTTTATGACATCTTCAAAGCCTTTCATGGCTGCTTGCACAGTCAAAGCATTACTTCCTGTATAAGCYTGGCGATACTATTCCAAGGAAAAAAAACAGGAGAAAAAAATTACACCATCACCAGACTAAAAAAAGGCTGATCAGGCCTCTATGCATCTCCCCAGGAGTTGCCTACATCACWGTAATTCAAAGTTATTTTACATAAGCTGAGAGAATTGGGATYGCTCAGTCTGGAGAAGAGAAGGCTTCAGGGTGACCTAACTGTGGCTTTCACAAACCTGAAGGGATTCTGTAGTAAAGATGGAGARAGGATTTTTTACAAGAGCATGTAGTGACAGGACAAGGGGGACTGGATTCATATTGAAAAGCAGCAGGCTTAGATTAGATATTAGGAAAAAATTCTTTATTGTAAAGGTGGTGAGACACTGGAACAGTTCCCAGAGAAGCTGAGGATGCCTCATCCATGGCAGTGTTCAAGGCCAGGCTGGATGGGGCTCTTGAGCAACCTGGTCTGGCAGAAGGTGTCCCTGTTCRTGACAGGGGAGCTGGAACCAAATGATCTTCRAAATCCCTTCCAACCCAAGCCATTTTATGATTTTGTACTAAGCTCCTGGTGACATGCCTGTACATCCTACCAYGAGTCCAAATCACTAAATTTGGAGAAGAAAACAGGCAAAAGAAGGAAATCATAAGGCCTGATAAYTGCGATAACTTCCTTCTATTTCAAATGCTCAGAAATTCCAAACTTGGCATTCCTCCTTGTTCACACCATGCAAAGCTGTCCTGAGCAGATTCTTGCACACTGAGTCATTGTACTAGCTTGAAACAGTTTCCAGTTTCTTGATGATGACTGTTTTCCACCATAGCAAAGTTTTATTAAAATAAATTCTATGTGCTCCAATTAGAATCAAGATTTTTCTTCCTCTCCCCCAAAACAGAAAAATGTTCTACTATCTGAACAATGAATGCTTCAGAAGGAAAGCAGCAAACCCATACTCCAACTGAAGAACTGTTGCATTATTCCTTTACCTTATTATTAAAAGACAGAGAWGTTTGTTGCCCTACTTTCCTGTTAAATTGGAATAAACCAGAGAAACACAGTGTTTTCCAGAACTCTTTAAAGAAAAAGCACCCAGATAAACCCCAGCATGTTACCTACCAGAGCGAAACATTTCTGTGCTTGTGCCAAGGCAGAATTGGGTCGCAATCGGATACATTCATCAAAGTCTTCCACAGCCTCCTCAATTTGGTCAAGCAGGATTTTCAGCTAGCCAAAATGAAAGAAATCCTATTTCTCTATTTCATCTGTGCTTCAGACATTTATGTAACAATTCAGTCAGCATCAGTTACTTGTATCATCGAGCTGTCTAGAAACCTACCAAACCCATAATTAAAAATCACTGTCATCATATATTATCACCAGTGAAGCTTTGGCTACCTACACAAGAAGGCAATSACCTTGTGCTGGGATTGAGAATGCTTGCATTTTAGATTGCTGCCATTACTGCTTCAGTATTATGTCCAGTCCCCAAAATTATGCCATAGTTGTCTCAAGTTGCCTCTATGTAGTCAGGATCTGTAGACTATTCAGATGTTGAAACATTTCAGCTTTTCAGCTTGCATTTCTACTTTTTTTTTGTTTGGTTGGGGTTTTTAGGTTTTGTTTTGATATTCTCACTTCACCACAGAAGCAGAGTTAATTTCATCATTCTCTTACTTTACTGTGAGGCTACTGYAAAACACTGATTTTCCATCTGCAGAAAACTTCCATTCCCTTCAGTCAACACATAGCACCATTTTCACTTCTGAGCACTAAAGAGGTCTAAYGGAGAAAGACCCTTGATCCATGGAAGTCTTCCTTACAAAAGAAGGACTTCCTTTTTTACTTCCAGCACCATTCATACTACAGGTCTSTGGCATCAGGCCTCTCTAGGTCTAGAAATAACTCAAGGGCACAGCAGTATCACAAGGCAGAGAGGGATGAGCTGAACAGAGGCAAGTCCAGGCCACAGTGCTGCAGGTGTTATTAAGGACACGTTACTGCTTCTGTGAGAAAGCTTCCTGCTGTGCAGATGCTGCTCTGCCATCCAGACCCTTCACAGAACAGCTACTATCTGCTGTMAATGTACAAAAGCCCCAGTACTTCTAAGTCTGAGTTTATACTGACAGAGGGCTTTTCTATACAGAAATAAACTGCTGCTGCCTGACCTGAACCTCCAAAGCAGACTGTGTTTATTCTGCCAAAGTTCCCAATTAGGAGTTCATGTTTTTCTGCCACAAACAGTAACAAATGTCTCCAATGACACTGTTTTTCCTGTTATTATATACTGAAATAGCCAAGGGTTGGGATCAAATCTCTAGGGTTTCTTACTTGTCCTCGATGGTGGTAAACATCAGCATTCTGAGGATCAATGTCAGCAGCCATGTTGAAGTCCTGAGTGGACAGCACAGGCTGCTGCTGCTGCATGTACATACTGCCCCGCTTGATCAGAGCGTTGGCTCGCAGCTGCAAAAGAGAGWCAGAGAAACATCAGCCACTCCACTGTTTCTCCAAATTTAAGGCTTTGTTACAATCACAGCAAATTTTTCATTTGACTAGTTTCTCCCGACAGGTTTCAATTATTCTAAGCAGTTCTAAGTTTCACACTGACCCCAAATGAACCGACTCCCTTACCTAATTTCAAAAATATCAGCCCATGCTTCCATCTCAGCAGATTTTCAATGCCCCCCAAAATTCCTTTTCAATTCCTCTGCTTACAAATACATCAATGATGATTTTTGAAGCAGCTGAATATACAAGAGCAATTAATGTTTTAGATTTATCCAGTGTGGTTAAGCCTCCAATTCATTCAACTTCACTTGTTCTTTAGTGTAAGATACCACCTTTAGTTTGCACTACTCAGTGCAGCTGTCTCAAAAATCAACAAGCCCTTGAAAAAAACAACCTATCAGGAGCAAAACACTAAATAGACCAGAACAGTCCCATTAAAACATYTGAATATTTGGAAAAACAACTTCTTGAGGTATATTGCAAATTTATCATCTAACTTCTCAATCCCCACWACAATCCAGGTGTGACAGATTCTTACCTTCACATTTGCATCTYCCATGCTGATGACCTGATCTAGGTCTGGTTTGGCAGCACTTGCATTGCCAATAAGTAAGTAGAAAGTAGCTCGCAGAAGCAAAGCTTCTGCCATGTATCTTCCCTTTGCTTCAATTTCTTTTGTGCTTTCACTGATAATTTTATCATAGTTCTCTTCTTCCATATACTGTTTTGCTCTCAAATAGCCAGAGCTGTAAATGATGTAAGAACAACTGTATTTATACATGCATTCACTGAACACTGCAATTTCCATTCAGATTTTTCATCAAATCATTGCAAGTAGTAACTTGTGCTACACTGTTACAACACCAGCATAGCTCCATTGGAACATCCATTCCTGGATGGAGCCATCATAGATGAAAAATGATTTGCACAAAAACTGGCTAAATTATATTGGAAATAAAGAAGAAACATGTTTTAAAGCTTTTGAAATTGAGCTTCATTTGAGCTTGAGGGGTTTTTTTTTCACATGAAGAATAGCAAAATTGTCTGCTATAAAACAGGAGGTGGAAGTCAAGGACAGGAAAGTGAAATATCAAACCTAGCAATGGGCAGCTTGCATGTGGAAGAAAGGATTTAATARCAAAAAATTACAGCRCTGCCTTGTTCTCAGCTGTGTCCTGGATTCAGTGAACCTGCTTGAAGATTAGGACATTCTCTTACTTTTCAAAAAAAATCATAATGCTGTTTGCAATGATTTCCAAACTGACAGCACTGCTAYCTTCCAAAAATAATTTGGAAAGCAGCATAGTAAATCAAAGAACCATTTATGGGGTACTCAAGTTCCACAAAAAAAACCAAACCAACAAAACCAAAACAAAACACAAACCCAAGTTTTTATATGCCAGAACTAACTTCTAATTTATGGGTAATTTGATTCCAGAAAGACAAAACACCCTGTCAGCCTCGGCTGCTGTAAATGAATATTTCCATTCAAAAACACCCTTTTCCTAGCTCACCTTCTCCCTTCCAGTCCAAAGGCTAACTTTCTCTCGTCCTTGGAAATGCTCCTTCAGTATAAAATATTCCTTTCCCCAAAAGGATCATTCAGTCCTCTCCAGTTCTCCCATCTCCTAAGATTTACTGTGATACTGTAGCAAATACTCAGCATATTTTCTCAATCTCATTGTCCTTCCTCTGTTTAGTGCAAGTTTGGAACTAGCCAGTCAGCTTTCAGCAAGTTTTCACTCACAATACTGATATCATTTATACCAAATTATATCATGCCAAGTACTATACAAACAGCAGCATGTTACACTGAGAAGAATGTCCAAATCACTGAAAACTTAATTCCAATACCAAACAATTCCCAACTGTACTGTACACTCACTTTTCTTTTACTTCAGAAGCCTCTCCCTCCTTATCCTTATCTTCATCTGATTTCTCACCCTTAAGCAAAGGTTGGGAAATGATATCATCTGTGAAAGAACTGAAGTAGGATTTAATGAACTGTGGYGAGGGCATCAGAGGCTCCCGATTCTGAAACAGAGAAAGGAATTCCAAGTCAGTAGGTGGTAAGATCAGATGGTAAAGATGGAAATGGATAACAAACATGATTATTTTTTAAAAAAACGATGGAAGGACCGATGTATGACTTTCACTGTGTTATCTGACAGCCTGATATTYTGGATTTACCAGTTTGATATTTAGGGATTCTTTAAGCTTCAGATYCCAATGCAATACCCACCACCAGTGAAAATAAAGTGAAGATATTCAGGGGAGAAGGGAGATAGTTTCTTTCCACATATGTAGCTAAAAATGAGGAGTCTTAGGATATCATAAGACATTGAGGAGATGTCCTAAGGCATTTGGTGTGCACATAAATTGGGTGAGAAATGCAAGCTTGTGCTTTAAGCATGAGCCTAAACTCAAGCAAATTCTGAATGGCAGTTTGCTCMTTTCTCCAACTTGTCCAAGAGAAGCTGCTGTCATTGTTAGAATGGACACTAATGAGGCAGTATCCTAGTGCTATGTGGAACTTGGCCCAGATACCAAACATTTTACTTCAAGTCCCAGAAGCAACACCTCAGGTACCTAATCTTTTCTACAGCCAGAAAATATGTATTGCTCAAAATCAACTGCATGCAAGAATTACAATTCAATCTCTCCTGCAAGAAAACACCTAATGCACTCTTCTGAAGCACACCTATTTTGTGATGTACCTCCACCACACCCACAACACAATTTGTTACCTTGACACCACAGATTTAGATGAATTTCTATAGGAAAGAAACTCACCATCTCAAATCCAACATGTACTTCAACCACCATCAAAAATCAAGCAAGAATGCTTWAACAACAAGGAAGAGCATGTTGGTACCTATCCCAACCTTTCTGTAAACCTAAGGCCACTTAAAATGACTGCTCATAACTACCCCTGTGCTTCCACAGTTCACTSTTCTGCAGCTTGCAAACGTTCATGCACAGAAGTCTGCTCCAACACACCCAGTTTCCGTGAACTTACAAGTTCAAAAAAGCCCTATGTMGAGCAGCACACCAATTTAGAGTGTCTCCTGAATGTCAGAACAAATTTCATTATTAAAGAGAAACAACTGCTAGAAGTAGATCTCTCTTCCCTGCTGAGGTTCCAAAAACTTTGGAGAGGCCCCAAAGGAAAAAAACATTGGTACAATGGCAGCTTTGTAGAAACCAGTTTGTGTCACTTCTTACACTTCAGCAGATGAAGACAGTGACTTGTTTACAACAACTGACAGAATGCCAACAACCAACATTTCAACAACTAGTCAGGTGAAATGAAAATTAGTCAGCGATATCACAAGTCCTACCTTGTACTTCTCTTTGGCCTTTTCTTTTCCAAGGAGTTTAAGAACTTTATCAGCTAATAACATACTTTGCTGGTTTTGGAAGGCTTCTAAAATGCAGACTGCAGTGACATCTAGGAAACAAYGTACAAAAGTGAGACTAAAGAAAGAAATTCTGATAGTCACTGGAGCACACTAAAATGTGCCACCAAGTACAATGAGGCACTGCCAAACTAATACATGTCTTGTTCTCAGGCAAAAGCCTCTGTTTCCAGTTTGTTGTATATACTGTATTTTTCAAGACACCAATTTGTATTCAAAATAATCTTCCCGTGATAAAAGGACTTCATGACATGAATGAAAAGAAATTACATTTATTTTTCTCTCCAKGTACTGATGTAGACACAAACACACTTAGATCAACAGTGAAAATGCATACCTCCATCAGGAGCTTYTTCCATTTTGAAACTCAAGAGGAGAGTAATTATGTTCATACTATGTTTGCATTGAAAGTGCTAAACACAGCTTCTCTTCTGGGACCRGTCTTTATTTTCTACTTCTAAAATTCACATTCAGCCCCATCGCCTTTCACTCACTCCTCAGTTTAAGAAATTTTCCTATATTCTATCTCAAATTTTTTTGCTCACTTCTGTGACTTTGGAAGGGAGCAAGGAGAAATACCTTGCTGGCCTATTTAAAGTGCTTTAAAGAACATGGCTTTCATTCAACAGAGAACCCTCTGCAAATGTTAACCCACTGCTGCCCGAGTGAAGCCTCGCACTGTGAAATGGGCTCTTACCACACACTGTTCCTCTGGATCCTCCACTTCATGCAATGCTACCACGGGCTCTTCCTGGTTTGTTTTCATTTAAACATCAGTGAAGATGAACAGAGTTTGGAATTGAAATTCAAGCAGTGTATTGTCTGAATACACTTRAAAAGTAAATGTCTTACCCTCAAGCTTTAGTAGAGTTTCTGTAATTCTACACTACTAGAGGGACTGTTCAGCCATCATTTATACAGAAACTCCCTGCAACTCTGGCACAGTCAGGAAGCACATCAGAGTCCCTGGGAAAATATGGTACCCTCAGAGCATGTTACACAATCCCAGCAGACACACTGTTGCACTCCAGGCTTGGGTGCAGCAACAACATCTTCCCAAATTATACYACCAGGGATCACTGGAGGGGTCTTCTGCTGGTAGTGGCAGTTTTTGGGRATTGTTTGGTTTTGCCATCCTCCACTACATGGACATACCCGGCATCCTAGGACTTTACTGGCCATGTGTGGTTGGCAGGTAAAAAAAGATTTACAGAGAAACAGTGTAGTGAAAAAAAAAGCAAGCATCAGGTATGAAAAAACTGCATTCTAAACATCAAATACGAATCAAGGCTGAAAATAGCACTGACATTACTGTTATTAAGACCTTACAACTAAGTTGTCCTTTTCCAGTCACTGTAGTCTTASAGGGCATAAAGGCATTCTGCCAGCAGATAAACAGATACATAGATAAAATTTGCACATCTAATTTACCTTCTAATTCGGCTGACCTAATTCTTAGCTGTTACACATAATGRAACTAAATTAACAGATTTGCCAGCCAAAGCACTGCCTTATTTTCTGTCCTTCTTTGATAATGAGCACAGCTGAAAATTTCATTTGTCTTTTAACTTCACATCAGCAAGAATTATTTGACTTGATGAAATTTATGTGGATATTTTCAAGCAGGGTACTGTAGTTCAAAAGTGCCCTGAGACAACACATCTGACCTGTTCTTCCTAATTTCCATGGCTTCTCAGTTACATCTTCCTGACAGTTCAAAATGTATTCTGTTTAGGAATAGCACTTGGAAGGATTTGACACAGTAATTTCTGCCAAATACATARTATTAATATTAAAAAAGTTCTGATTTTCATCTATGCACCAGAACAAAATGCTACTGAAGCTGTTTTCYCTCTAATACCTGTGCAATGCATTTAAATTACTGTAATGCTCTTATTTCTGACCATGTATCTCTACCTGCAAAAACTCCCTCACTTCTGTAGTAGTTAAAATTTCTCTAAAACAGAGATGAAGAAGTCTGTTTAATGCATGGAAATAGAGTGACTGTTGTCTGGGTTATCCATTCAGCATGTTAGAAGAATTCTACTGTAAAGTGAAGAAGTTTCCTGGAAAAAGAATACCTTGAGTTGCTACAGTAACATCAACTTCTCAGCAGTTATTTCAGATGTAAGCAATGAGAGCTTGAGAAATGTGAAAAGGTTTCTTCTGACAAGAGAATAGTTGCAGAAGCTATGAATGGTTTTAAATAAATAATTCTGCATTACTGTAGCCACAGAAATAATACCAAAACACTTCCAGAAGTTGCTATCTGCAAAGCAGCAGAGCTAATTCCACTTTTAAATAKACACAGCATGAGCCACTCACCTTCTAAACATTCCTTCTTATTGTCTAGYTTCTCATGGGCCTTCGCACGTCTGAAGAGAGCTTTGACATATTTAGGGTTGAGCTCAACAGCCTTTGTGCAATCTTGTGCCACTTCTGTCCATTTTTGCTGTGGGCAGAGAAACAGCACAGTGAGAGAGGCTGCACTCAGCTGCCTGTGTTGACTCCCCACAGCCAGCTCTGGGGTCATGCACACCCAACAGTGGCTGCTGCTTCTCTCTKCTTGCCTCTACTTCTGCAAGCTCCTCAGGGAGAAACTGCCTGGGCACCACTGCCTGGGCAAACCACCTRCACCAGAAAAGCCACAGAACAGAAATGGAATTCCTACAGAAATATTAAACCAGACAGAGTACAAATCCCATGGGAGAAGATAATGAGTTGATGCAAAGAGGCTTGCAGGAGGTAACACCAGGTCCAAAAATTGGGTGTAAAAAAACTAGAAGAAAAAGATGGAAATATAATGAAAGCAAACAGTTTAACAAAGTGTTCAACCTTTTTTTTTTAAAAAAAAAAAAGCTCTTTCAATTTATCAGAATAGGCTTTTCCAATAGAGGAACCAGATACACTTGGGATTCATTATAGTATGAATTTGCGTTACACAAGAACTGTTTTATCTCTCCTTCAACACCAGATCTATCTAAGCATGATCTCTCACTTGATATTTCAGACTGTACAAAGCCAACTTTTCCACTCCTTTATACAGATCACCAACTCGACTTCATAAGCAAATCTATGATACCATAATAAGCAACACTGGTTGACTTCTAAAATAACACCAAGTATAYTCAGCTGTCGAGTAAATGTTACTTCCCTATGTGCAAAATTTAGGTCTTGGCATTTACTAGGATTTCTGTGATTTTTTTTGTTTAAACTTTGAAGTAGCATCCTTCCAAAACATTTGACCTTTCACCTTTCTTTCACACTTAAAGAAACACACTCTAGTAGAGAGAAGTCAAATTAAATCATATACAAGAAAATTGTTCCAGAGAATAAAAATTGAAACTTTGTCTTAGAATAACAGGATGCATAAGAATTACATAAGATAGATTGAGAGTAGTGGACAGAAAATAATTTTATTTATATGTAGAAAAGTATGATGAGCTGAAAAAAGCTGCAACAGCATCTTGTTATGATAGCAGAAGATATCACCTGGGAACTTTCAGTGGATCAAAGTGACAAAATGAAATATCGATAATGCTACTTTTTATAATAAACACATAATTATCTTTAACTTCTTACCAGTTGTTCATAGGCAGCAGCTCTATTTTGATAGAAGGTAGAAAGATCAAGGTTTTTCTCAGGAGGGCACAGGCTGATAGCCTCAGTATAACACTGAATAGCTAGCTCATATTTTCCTGCTTTAAARTATTTGTTTCCTTTGTTCTTGGCTGCTTGGGCTCTACCAAGAGGGCTCTGAAAAAGAAAGTGATAGGTCARTTCAGGTTAAAAGGCATCACAGCACACAAGCTATGCACTTTAGGGCTCATCTTCAAAGACATAAAAATGGATCCAAGTCGTAAACTGTAACCCTGACTTCTGAAAAATCTCACTGATTTCCTGGAAAAACACAACAATTTGTTTTTGGCAAGCAGATCAGATAGGAAACAACCTTTTCACAAGATTCACTACAAKGGTAATAAACAATGCAGCGATTTCTCTTTCAAAATCCAAACAKATTGTAATCTTTTACATGGGTGTGATCAGAACCAATGAGGTAAGTTGTTTCTCCAAAGGCTGAATGTGCAAAGACAACAAAGTCCTCAAAGCAATTCAAGCAGAAGAGTTTCCTTCTGAATATATTTAGCCTGTAAGACCAGAAGTAACTCATCAGACTAGGAATTAAATATGGAAAACATCTTGTGGGAAGACCTACTAAGSAAGACAAATAAAACCTGTAAGGAAAATAAAGCTGGATTGACTTTCACACACTAGACAAATCAACTTTATAGCTGACTCCTCTACAGATTCACACACTCTGTTTCATGCARTGACAAGTGCTGGTCCATCACCATCTCAGCAGGGGATGGGAAACTTTGCTGACTGGCTTGAGATCCTGCTAAATGCATCTTTATGTTCTGCACTACATGCTGATCTGTATTTCTGCAGAAACTAACATTGCTACCTGCAACCCCTAGCTATACACACCAGTTATCAAATCTTGTGGTTTGCMAGGGATCAGATGCAAAAATGCTCCCTTTAACAAAGGGGTGAGACACACATTCAAGAAATAAAGAGCTGCAAAAGATCTGAATACTGATCTTCTCAATTCTGCTCCTCTTTCACAGCCTTGCTTCAGGGACCAACATTCTGGGCAGTTCTGGCTAATGAACAGATGGCACACATGCCATTCTACCAACCCTTCTGAGGTGAGAAAGACTACAGACTGAGAGCAGGAATGCCTTAAAGAGCTGCAGGATTCACTGCATCTCACCTGCACTTCAGATCATCTCGGATTTGCTGGGAATTGTCACTGCCTCTCTTTGACCATACTCCTGCCTCCTCTCCCCACTCATCCACTGCCAGGGCCAAACTACAACAGACAGCAGTAATACGAATTTGAAAGCACCTTTGCATTTCATCTGTCTGTTCCCCTTAATATCTCTTCATTTCACGCCAACCTGATAATTTTTTGCATCTAAGTGGTTTACTTTAGAACTGAAAACCTGAGGGGCAGCTAGGAGTTGCTCTACAACCTGTCTTTTAAGGCCTGGCTCCAATCAGATAATGGGYACCACCCTTAGTTCCTACATAAAAGCAGGCATCCAAAAAGAACAATAGTATCCTAGAGGCACTCTCCTGAGGGGAGACTTACAAGCAAAACCATATAAGGGAGAGAATTTCTTAAATATCCCTACTGCCAGAAAAGCTCTTCTCTCATAAGTCATAAATCTTTGGCTCATAGGAAATCAATCTGCATCATCTTTATTATTCACAGAACAAGGCCATCTGCAAGGCTTTCAGATTTTTCCACGGTAAGATTTTAATTTTAATTTGATAAAATATTATTAACTTCACCCCATACACTGTGGTAACTCTAAGAATACATGAGTCAGAATTAGAGTGCAAATATTTTTACTGAGATCCAAGTAACTGTGTATCTAATAWGCTGTTTCTTCAAAACATAACCAAAGTCTCAAAAGGTTAAATTTATTTTGAGTATGTCCTAAATTCAGCTCCAAATACAACAATACTTTTCTTTTAACAAAGGGAAGGGTTAGGCATATGCTGCAAACTTAAATGCATGCAAGTCAACTTGAGTTTTTCCTTGTGCATTTCCAGAGCAAACCACATTAGAAATGCCTTTGTGTAAYAATCTTACAAAATTCAGTGCTGTTCCTATTAACTCGGGTCGAAAAAGAAAAACACACGATAGGCCATTCACACATGTGTTCCCAGTGTGAAAATTATTTAATGCTGCAGAGATTAAGCCTAACTGCAACTATATTATTACTTCATGATCACTGCCAATTGCTTCAGCCCAGGGATCTCCTATCCCAGTATGTGCTCCAGGCTGACCAGACCCTGTGCTCCAGGCTGAGCACTCTAAGAACCCTGCCCCACAGTCCTTGAGTAAAGACACAAGCTATAGATGAGGTAGCTGGGTAACACCGAAGGGCTGCTACAGCATCAGGTGTGGGAATTGTAACTGGAAACACGACATTTGCCGACACCGGGGGCTGTCACTGGTGTTCTGCTGGTTTTTGGGAAGCATCAAGTCTTCAGACAAGTCCACAAAGCACACACAACAGGGATCAAAAACCTCAGAGACTACAGACGTGATGCCAAAATTATTAAACTTAGCAACTCTGTTATCTGAGTAAACTTCTAGTAACAGTTGCTGGATCGAAGACCACACAACCATTCATACASAAATGAATCATGGAACATTTGCTGACTCCGTGGTTACCCCCTGCTGCACTCATTGCATGAGGCAAGAAATGTGGGGTTAAGAAGTCAGGACKTGGAGCACAACAAGCTCTCATAACAAAGTCAACAGTAGTGCTCAAGGMAAGGAAGAAATCAACTTGTTTGTTTATGCTGCTTCAAACTAGACTGCTTGCTCTGAGATGTTTTATCCCTGCACCCTTAAACAAACTACTTGCTGTAGCCYTCAGTATGCATCCAAAACACCATAAGAATATGAAGATTAATTCTTGACATAAGGTCAGTTTTGGAAGGTTTTTCAAGCCTTAAATTWAACCCTGATAAAATTTTTAAGCATATTTTTAAAAATCCCTTCTCAATTGTTGCACATACACAAGATGGAAAYGGATGATGCAAACAAACTTCATGTATTCCATACACACGTAATAAAAAAAACCTCACTTCTTCCCTTTTCTTGCCAAAGTAATAATTCCATACATTATTTCCAATTTCACTGCTTCTCACCTGACCCACAGTCATCCTATTGTGGCGCACTGGACATTTTTTATCCCCAAGGTTAAGGTCCGTACAGAGCATGAAAACCTCTCCACTTTGTCATCTTCCGGTCAAAGAATTTGTGCAACAACCAAACCAGCTCAATAAAATGAATGTAAGCTCACAATAGCTCAACAAAACAAATAACTCATAAGTTAACTACACAAAAAATAACATCTCAGTACTTAGAACTGCTTTCATTAACAAGTCTTAGAACAGAGCTTAAGCCAAAAGACACTTGTGAAATTCAGTTATCAGTTATGCAGGTACCTGAACAAGTAATTACTTACTGTCTAAGGACTAGACAACACTAACAAATTTTCTTAATTTCTACTTTAGCCTCAGCAAATGTGCTTTTCTCACAAAATATTCAGAAACGGTGTGCAAACAGCAGCCTGACAGCAACAGACTGCCAGCTGCAAGAATAATAATGCTTAGTAACTCCCAGCAATGACGGTATTGTTAAACTAACAATTCAGAACTTCATATATTTGTGGGAGACTGTTATTCAAAGCAGAACAAGAAATTTCCTGCCAGCCACCGATGACAGCGATTCACAAAAGAAACATGAGCAGAGAGTTTCAGCATTTTCTTTTGGTTGAAAAGGATTTGCATGAGCCCTTGTCTGACAGATAACACGGAARTGGACTACTGTTTCAGCCATCTTAATTCAACTTGCAAAAAAAGAAAGCCTTGGTCTAGACCTCTTTTTCATCCTCTCCAAGTGAGAGGAAATCTTAATGAGATTAGGTACCAGGAAAAAAAAATCCCGTTCTTTTCTGAATATCTATCTTTCTCAAGTCTTCTTTAAAACAAAGGCATTAAGTGAAAGAAATGATTTTTTAAGTCTTCTTAGCACTAAAAGCACTATGAGAAAAAGTATGTTTACATGAGCTTTAGAAGTAAATTCAAAGCACAAGCAAGGATGTATTATAGTCAGAAATAATGAAGCTGAAGTYTACAGGACAATTTCACAATGTTCTGAGTCAGTCACCTTCCGTTAAATGAATTTGCCATCCGYGCCTTCCATGAATAAACAAGCTGCACATGAGCTGCCAAGAGTGTAACAATTGTTCTACTGCAATTGAATACACATTTAGGAGTTTTCTACACCTGTCCACTACAGCTGGCATGAAACAGAAGGTTGATAGTGAGATTTATTAAGCAATAGGTGCATAGTACAATAGAAATGACTTTTCAGTAACTTTGCTTARATCAATTCAGAGTAAGTACCAACTAATGAGTCTATCTAGGCAAAGGGGTTCAAATCCTGATCTAATGTCACAGCAGCGAGAGAGGCAACATTCAGCACTGTTACTAAAACAGAYACTGGAAAGAAGCCACACTAGGCTGGCTTTTGATCCCAATATGTGGCATCACAAAGACCAAGGAGTTTGTCACGTTCACCCACCACTGCACTCAAGGACTGTATCCACCTCACAGGAAARTGTGTGAAAGCAGGGAACTGCTGTGGACCCAAGTGGCTCTGTCTGCAATACAAAAGGCCACCCAGCTGAACCTCTTCTCACACCAAACACAGAGCTACCCTGGGAACTTGTTGGAAGAGTTAAGGGGTCAGATTTGGACTATCACAGAGCCRCAAARGGAATTGATTRCAACTTCAGGGGAAAAAAGTAYTTAAGCAACTAACACATTACCTCACTGACTAACCAGTCAGTGTCCTGTAAGACAAAGAGGGTATAAAACTGCTGAGAAGTTATCATGGAATAAGTAAAAAAAAATTTAATCAACTGGGCACCAAGTAAAGCAAGACACACAAAGCACTCCATGTTAAGTTACACAATACTCCTCACAAACTAGGAGAACATGCAAAAAGCAAYTGTTACTGAGTAACTAAAACACATTCCATCTAAATTATAAGAAACAACGACAACTGTCATTAACAGATGCMACTTGACTTTACGACCTTTGAGTCATCCATAGATGCAGTTTTACCATCATCACTCAATTGGTCCAATAATACCGGTTTACTGTACTGTTGAGGAGCTGTGCTTTCAGGAGGACTCTCAAAAGTAGTTCAGCTTTTCCCGATATAGCACCTGTGCTAAGGGCTTCTGCCAACACAATGTCAGTCACAGATCACACACTTGGCCACTGCACTAATGACAGGAGAATCCTCTGGTGCAGACACAGCCTGGGAAAAAAATGTGAAGCCTGTGCAGCAGGTAAAAGAAAAGCTTGAACTGCATGCAAAATAGTAACAAGTCTGAGTAAAGAACAGGAAGATATTGGACCTTATATTTTTAAAGAACAAAGGAAAAAATTCAAGGTCGTGTCTTCAGAAAAAGCAAACAGAACATCAAATGGATAYAGGGGCTGATTTAATGAAAAGCACAAAAAAGTATGAATCCTAAGTTACATCTATGACTAAAAGAATAGCTAGCTGACACAGCTGTTGGKAGGGATTTCATTATTGACCTATGTGTTTTCCAAAAGATTTTCCTCTTGCATTTCAACTGTCAAATGAATTACTGGTTTTACTCACTGTGCAGATTTGTATGTGAAATCCATCTGAGTTTCAAAAAAGGCAGATTAACACAATGCAGGCAGTTTTACAAGTAAAGCACATTTTGTGGCTGTAATTTCAATCATAGGTCTAATCAGTAATATCCATAACTAATAAAATATGAGAGGAAACATAAAATCTACATGGCATCATTGCTTTGGATATTAAYAACAGAAGACAATCCTCCACATATACATAAAGCAGTCAAAGGAACTTGCAGACACATTTATTTTCCTGCTACAGTCATATTTGGACCAGCTTGACAATTACCTCATGTAATCAGTCAAACCTGATAACTTCTTCTACAGCTTTCCTAAGCAATATCTCATTTCTTTGGAGCGTAAACAATGACAATCTTCAAGAAACTTTGGATCAGGTCATACCACCCAACCTGTTCTTAAATGCACARAATCTTCTGCTAATTCAATTTGTGGTGCATCACACAATATTTTAAATCAAATGCTATGTAAAGTGTTTTAAATGTTTCAGGTGCTTCTTCCAACAACTGCAGAACAACTACAAACCCCTGGATATTCCTGAAATTCAGAWACACAATCAAGAAACCCAGAGTGAACACACTAACGGGGAAGTCACTGCAGCAAGACAAAGGTCACGAGCAGCCAGCAAAGCAGAGCTCACACACAGCAAGCACACTCCCATAAACACGCCAGATGCTGCTTGCAGCCACAAGCCAAAGTTACCACGGTGAACAAAGTCTGAATTTGTCTTCTGTACACAACTTGCTTCGTGCTGTCTGGTGCCCAGGAAAGAACAAATCACCACATTCAAGTAGCTATTTCAAGGTCCAGCACAGATTTTTACAGCTTACTGCACTTCCAGGAATGCCCGAGGGTACCTGTGATTCACTGGCTGGGGAAGTTGACATCTTCCTCACCACTCCCATGTGTGCCTGCCGCTGCCCGCCCAATCGAGTCAATCTTCTTCACTCAAATGATAAGGTCAAAACTGACTTTTCCCAGCCTCCAGAAGGTGATTTGTTTCATTCCTGATCATTTCAGATGGGAAATTTAAACTGTCTGACACTTCAAAGCATTTTGGTAGATACACAAGAATAGAAGAAAACGCAGTATGGGATATTCTTATCAAAGCCAACCAGYTTGTCAAATCCATCACTTTAAACATTCTGCAACCTCACCTCTGTAATGCAGCACAACTGGCAAGGTGTATATGTGACTGTAGATGCAAAAAGTGCATCCTAGAAGCATTTTTCCAAATACAGATGTACAAGAGAACCATGGATCTGATCTGGACTCCTATATTTCACGCTGTCTTTCAATTTTTGCATAGACCATTTCATCTGAAAATTCTCAGAATGGTACTTTACAACAGGATAAAYTGAAGTTTTGAGAGCATGTCTACTTAGGCAAATTCTACACTTAAACTCTCTGCTGCATAAACTATGTGGCTTCTATATTTTCATAGAACATATTCCATGTTTTAAAACTATCTTGACTGTGTATTTTTTTCAATATGCAGTATGTGGCATCTCACACACAACAGATCACACATTTCCTTTTCAAAACACTATTCCTGGATGAAAGGTACAGCTATTCCAGACCTCAGAGGCAGAGGTACATTCCCCCCTCAGTAGCGCAGATCCATACTCAGTTGATGAGAAGAGGCATTCAGCAATGCCTGTTCCATGTACGGGTGCCAGGACTGTAACAAACACACACTCAGAACAAACTCCCAATTGCTGTGCAGCGAGGGCAGAACTGCATCCATGACCACGTGGCTAAAAGCACTGAGGGTCACACAGGCTGAGCACAGAGAGGCGCAGAGCTCTGGTAGCAGGTCCAGACAATGGTGACAAAGGTGATTAACGGACTGGAGTATCTCTCCTAAGATGAAATCCTAAAGAAGCATGGCCTGGTCAGAGTTGAGGAGAGATGGCTAAGATGGGGACCTCATCAATATCTATCAGTATCTGGCCAGAAGGTGTCAGGAGAATGGATCCAGGCTCTGCTTAGTAGTGCCAAGCAATGGGACATGAGGCACTGGACAGAAACTGATGCACGGGAAGTTCCACCTGAATATGAGGAAGAACTTCTTTACTGTGCAGGTGACCGAGCACTGGAACAGGMTGCCCAGAGGTTGTGGAGTCTCCCTCACTGGAAATATTCCAGACCCACCTGGACACAATCCTGTGCAATGCGCCCCGGAATGACCCTACTGGACCAGGGAGACTGGACCAGTGCTGTGGTCCCTTCCAACCTGCCCAGTCTGACTCTGTGACCTGCCGGGAGTGTCAGAGCACGATGTCACCCGAGTTCCATGCCATCAGAAGCCTGCTCGGCGGTGGGGACCGACGCCGTGACCGCCGCTTTCCGGACGGGGCCAGCGGCCTGCCGGGCCCTGCCTCCCTCAGATCGCAGCCCGGGCGTCCCCCACGCGGCTCCAGGCGGCCCGGCTGGCGGCGGGACCCCGGCCACGGCCCCCACGCGGTGAGCCCGGCCCCTGCCGCCGCAACAGGCGGCACCGCTCCCCGCTCACCATCTCCTCGTGTCCAGGCCCGTCGGGCTGYCCGGAGCCGCTGTCGCCGCCAGGCCCGGGGCTCGCCCGCCCCTCAGGGGTCTTCCGCTCGCTCGCGCCCTTCCCGCGCCGCGCCGCCCGCCGCCCCCACAGGTAGATCGCGCCGGCRCCCAGCAGGATGGGCGCACCCAGCACCAGCGCCACCTGCCAGCGGGACAGCCCCGCGGTGCCGCCGCTGCCCGGCGCCTCCACGGGCTTCGAGGCGGCCATGACGCCCGGGAGGAGCAGGAGGAGGGAGGGTCAGCGGACACGCGGGGCGCGCCGGGAGGGCGCGGGGAGAGCGGCAGCTTCCGCCCGCCCACAGCGCCCCCTGCCCGCCTGGAGGGGCACCCGCAGACCTGTCAGGGAGCCCGGGCGGGAGGGGTCGGGCTGAGGGGCCGGCTCGGGCTGAGGGGCCGGCTCGGGCTGGGGGCCGGCTCGGGCTGAGGGGGGCCGGCTCGGGCTGGGGGGCCGGCTCGGGCTGAGGGCCGGCTCGGGCTGAGGGCCGGCTCGGGCTGAGGGGCCGGCTCGGGCTGAGGGGCCGGCTCGGGCTGAGGGGAGTTCACAGCCGAACAACCGGAGTGGCTTCGGAGCCGGAGTGATCCGTGCACAAGGAGCCCTGGGCCAGTCACACGAGAAGGGCAGTCCACATCTGGAATGCTGCATCCCGTTCTGGGCTCCTCAGTATCGGAGAGACATGGAGCTCCTGGAGTGGGTTCCGCAGAGTTCAGTGAAGATAATTAAGGGCCTGGAGCATCTCTCTTAGGAGGAAAGGCTGAGGGAGCTGGGGCTGTTCAGCCTCGAGAAGAGACGGCTGAGAGGGGCCCTTATCAATGTCTACAAGAACCTAAAGTGGGGGTTCCAAGAAGATGGTTTCTGGCTCTTCTCGGTGGAGCCGAGCAATGGGACAAGAGACAATGGGCAGAAAGTGATGCACAGAAGTTCCACCTGAATGTAAAGAACTTTTACTGTGAGGGTGACTGAGCACTGGGACAGGTTGCCCAGAGAGTTTGTAGTGTCTCCATGACTGGAGATACTCCAGACCCGTCTGGACACAATCCTGTGCCATGTGCTCTGGAATGACCCTGCTGGAGCAGGGAGTTTTTGGGCCAGATTATCCAGTGTGGTTCCTTCCAATCTAACCATCCTGCGGTTCTGTGAAGCTTCAGCTGACATGACTGATTCAAACTTTCTGGGACTTTGTACTGAAGAGTTTTGAAGCAATTCTTGTTTTAAATTACACCTTTCTTTTTTGCAGCTATTAATCGAATTTGTCATTAAAATCTTTTAATATGCAATACTGGAATTTCATTCCTCTGTGTGTCTATGCCTAGTTAGCATCCCTACTCGTAGGCAGAGGAAGCTTATGTTTCTGTCTGCACTTATTTCCCTGAAGCACTCGGCTGAAGATGAGGAGGAGTTTTCTTTGACATGTTACTACAATCAGATAACTTCCGTAATCTCATGCCTGGAATTTCATTGTAGGTGGGAGGGAAATGTAAGAAGACACATATTGCACAGAAGGAAAAAGGACTGCAAATAAAAGCAACAAGATTGCAAAGTGAACATATTTAGGATCCCAACTAAAATTTGCCCTGAGGTGCTCTGAGTCAGTATATCTTTGTGCCTGGTAGTAAACAACTTGAAACATATCCTTTGTTGATTATTACTATTTATATGAGCATATTTTAACAAAGCTGTGGGACAATCTCTCCCAGTTCTCCCTGTCACCTGTCTCAGCAAGGCAGAAGCATTTCCTATTCCACACAACAACTTGCAGCTCTGTCTCGCACATCAGTAAAGAACTTGAACCTCACAACAGATAATATGTATCCAACACATCCCTAGCTTCTAGCACCGCCTCAGTTCCACCCACATGGTGTTTGCTGTAGGCCTTCAGATGGGCCGTGCCTGTACAAATGGGTGGCCTCCAGGATGTAAGTCACGTTCAGGCTGTTTGAATATTGCCAGGAGTGTCCTTCCCCATCTAGAGAATCAGCTCACGCATCTTCTTCTTATTGCTTTAGGTGTCTTTTTACTGTTTTGTATTCGTCTTGCTCCTGTCCAGGCTGCTGCAGGCTTGGTTGTGTCTCCAAGCTCTCATGGGCTATATGAGGTGATGCTGTCTACACACCCACGTACTCAGGTCCCTCTGCTGATCACTAAACTCTTGACTGCCCTGCATGAGGTAAAACTTGGGCAAATTGCCATCCATGACCAGCTATTCCCTTCACCCATATTGTTCAGAATGAGCAGTCCTACATGGTATTAAACCTCACAGCTACACCCACATAGATGAAACTGGAGTTTTGTAACCACATCCATAGTTCTAAATAGGTTGGGGAAAAGACAAGYTTTAATGCTGGGTCACTGATTCTCTGTAATGCTACATTACCAGACGGCTTTTTGGGATATATCTGGCCAAGATAACCAGCAATGCCTGGGCTACAGGAGAACACCTAGCACACACCAAGGACTGCTTCCAATAAGAAGTTAGATTTGGGTTCTTCTTCCTGTGCAATTTTCCAGCACCATCCCAACAGGCTTTACAGCCTTATAGCCCCCCTTGTCCTCCTGCCAGGTCCTAAACCAAGTAACACATCTTCCAATTTCTTACCCTACAAACAGCAGTTTTATAGGCTACAACAGTTTTTRTATTGTATCAGATATTTTGAAATAAAGGAGACACACAAATGACAACAAGGTATTACAGCCACAATGCAGTACATAGATGGTCAAAGAGACACACAGCACAAGCACCACAAAGGATAGTGTGGTCAGTCTAAACACTTGGTCTGAGGTCAGAAATCAGTCCCTGGCCCTGTTCTGTCTGTGGAACAGGCAGGGCATATATGGCTCATACCCAGGGCTGGTGAGGAGAAAGCAGCACATTTTTACCCTGAGTGCATTCAAGTGAGGTAGGGCCTCCCATAGGCCTGGTACATGAAATTACTCAGGTGAAAAGCAGCAGCTGCACAATATACTGCCTCTCATAACCCAAAAATGAATGAGCAGTTGCTTCACGGAGGGCTTCTACCTTGACAGACCACATTTCCRAAATACTGAAGGAAGAGCAGAGGCAACAGAAGTCAGGAGAGAGAKCAACAGGGGGAGAGTGGGCCATTTGTGCTCCCTCCCACAGAGCCAGCTAGGTCTCTGCAAGCAGCTGTGCTGGTTTCTGACCAACATCGATACATCAATTCTGCTTCTCGAAAATCACAAGCCTACTTTGGGTCTGCCCCCCGCAGGCATGTAACTGTGGGCAATTCTGCATTGGTATTGACAGCTGGGGCACTCAGCAGCAACACACAGGGAGCAGCSACAGCCCTGCCACCCRCCCCCTGCGGCAGTGTCMTATTGGACATCRCTGCAATGGAAAGGTTAAAGGAAACCTTGTTGAAAAGAGACGAGAAAGGGTTGACTTTATGTTTAGACAGTGCCCAGGGCTGCAGTGGGGCAGGGTTTGGGGAGGGAGTGCAGAAAGAGTGGTTACAACTGTCTCTGCTTCCTCTTATTGGCAGAACAGTGTGAAGCAACTGGCCTGGTGGTTGAATTTGACCTTGCTTTTCACTGGCTGGTTGGGAGAACCCCCCAAGTTTGGAGCATCTGTACATGGAATATGATGAGGATGATGATATTTTCTTTGCAAAATGGATGAGCAGCTTCTGGGGCCACAACTTGATCGATGAGAAAGAGGCCAGAGGCCACAAGAAACGTCAGACACGACTCTGTAGTGAAAGGAGAGCATCGCTACCGGTAAGAGCTGTGTGCAGCTTTCTTGGTGCATGATGTGGTTTATGTATAAATAGAAGTTCCATCCCCAGAAGCACAGCCCTAGAGATGTATGAGGATGAGTATGGGACACCTTGCCAAGTAAGTTCAGTTCCTACTGGCAGCAGTTAATTACTTTTTGAACTTAACTGTCTGCAAGGGTAAGGCCTTCGAGGACTCAGAATTCAGGAAAACTGGCAGATTCTAAGAAAAGTGATGAAAGGACCAGAAATTCAGGGAGAAGTGTGTAATAGCTGCCTAACTATGTATTACAATGTTGTTCTGGCTGCTCAGCACAACCTGGCAGAGATCAAAACATTTTGCAACTGGCATGCATAAAAGATCTTTCTGTAACAAGTCTGTTCTCATGTGAAAAACTGTATAACTCCATATATATTAGAAGGACCTAATTCTGCCACTATTCTGTCTCCAGGAAGTTTTACCCTTTACCCCTTGGGACTTACCTGTTTTCAGGTGTAACTTCCATTTTAAGGTGGAGGATACAGTCCTCCTGGTTTAAAACAACTGACTCTGAAAATGATGATATAACACATAACAAGGCATACTAAACTGTGAAGTAAGATTTTAAGGTAGAAGAATATTCTTTGTTCTTAAACTAACAAAACAACTGGGAAAGGGGCAGGTTCATGTGCAGAAGGCAGCTCACAACTGGCTAAACAATTAACAAAATTAGGTTAAACTGAAAACAGCTGTTTGCAATCTTCTCTTTATTCACAGATTGCTGCTTTCATTTCATCTTTTAAAAGAACATTTAGGTCTAAACCTCTCTCTTTTTTTTTTTCCAACTACATCAGTTGTCTTAACAAAGAYACTATGTTTCCTAAYAAATCATTTTACTTTYATCCTTAGATCATTATGGATGCAAAAAAGTAAATGTTAAAACCTTGGAGAGAAACAGCTAACCTTTTCTAAACTTTTTTCTGCCATTCTGTGTTTCTGCCTTGCAAGTTCTTCTCCACTGCATCTGTCATGTCTGAKCATGTCTAAGGTGTAGGATTTTCCATTTCCAAAAAAACTGGCTAAGAAAAAAAAAAGAGTCCAAAACCACTTCCTCTCTCTTTGAATTCATGRATAGGCTGGAGATGTAACCTTCACTCATAACTTCTGTCTGACCAGACACATTTGTTATTTATTGTTATATTTCACCGCAGACACAGAKTGCAAGACAGACTTTGAGCTCAAGCTTGCGCTGTATTCCATCGGAATGCTGAATATATAACATTTATTAATGGGAGAGGAAGGAGGTTAATTAATTTTACTGTATTTTTTCTTACTCAGAGATCATACGTGTGGGATTTCTTTAGGCCTCAATAGAAACTGGAGTGTAAGAATGTACTTTAAATTACTTTCCAGTCAGCAAGGTGCTGAACACATCTTCTTGTATATTTGTGTCTGTATTTGTGAGTGCACAGACATTTCATTTGAAGCATATCCTTACATTCAGTTTGTTCAAAAGCTATTTAAATATTTAGCTAACAGGTATTTGAATACTTTGTTATACTTGCATTCCTGAATACAAGCCTAGGATTTAGATTAAGTTGGCTGGYAGAAAGACTGATTTTTTGATGTTACTGTTTAACAAGCTAAAGATAGTGTGTACACTTAGTTATATCTGGCCTTTACATTAATGCTTCACACAAATTTGTCTTGTTCCATTATTTTTATATAGAAGATATAAGATTTTTATATAGAAGATATAAATTTTATGTCTCAGTGCCAAAAGTTGACTGGAGGAATGAGGCAGGAAGATTTGTTTGAGGATTTTATGATTTGGGGATACATTTTGAGATGAACTTTTGTTTTGGAAGTTGACTAGTTGGTAGTAAAGAGCACTAGTACATGTTGTCTTTAACCAAAGCTAGAAGTTAAACAGATTGGCACTACTGATGCCTCAGAAATAGTTCAATATTGAGAGCAATAACTTGCTACTGCACCTGGATTTGTGGTTTTTACACAGTTGCTACAAATTATAACTACTGTAAGATTCATTATTACAAATTATAGGTATTGTAAGATTCAAAAGACTTGTACGGTTATTTAAATATTGTCTTCATTTTATCAGAGCAGTGCTAATTATCAGGAGGAATAATAAATGAGATTAGACTGCATCTCTTCTGTAGATCRTAGTGTACCCTTCCTTTTGTCTCAACATTGTAAACTGAGATAACTCCACTGTCTAGATGAAAATGAAGTCAGCAAGTTCTGATACAGCTGTTGGCAAAAGCTCCTTGTGCAGGTRCAGTGGCATTGCCAAAAGAAGCACCACCAGCACCCTTGGGCCCAAATCCAAGGCTGGTATACAAGGCWTCAGCAGCAGGGCAGTCCTGCCCACACAAACTGCTTCTGCACCACGAGCCTCTCAGTGCTACGTAGCAAAGTGCTCTCAGTGTAGCACAAAWGGTGGTTCTGCTGGAAAATCACTTTCAGCTCCAAATTTGTGTGTTGCTCTTTGTAGTTTTTCCTGTGCCATAGTAAACTCCTGTGGTATCCTATCATGCTGTAGCCCCCATCCCAAATGGATAAAGCTTTATAGAATAACTCCCAAACTAACAACTGTTCTGAGGTTTTTTTTCCCCAATATTACAAACACTACTGAGRTGAGCTTTGCAAAATGCTTTTGCTATAGCCATTTGCATTTTGCAGAGGAAAATTATATTCATCCTTTACTGGGTCACTGGCAAGTCAGGCTAAAATGTAACTCCATTCTCCTGAAAAGCATCAGAATGGTTTATGTTGCTGTGGGCCAACACTGAATGTGAGAACTGCCTGGGGAGAATTAAGTCATCTTGTTTCCATCTCCTTTATTTAACTTGTTCCCCTGGCAAACTTTAGACAAATTAACTGTGATACCCTTTTTGAAGCCTCCAGCTATGACTTTCCTTGACACATTCTAGTTATCCTACATCATTTTGGCTCAGAACAGTTCTTAYTTCCCAGACATTTTGTTGTAAGGAAAAGATTGATGGCAAAGGAGAAGTGATAAGAGTTTTATAAACCCTACACATGTGTCCACCTTCAAATAGATATTGTTGCTCACAGGAGAAAATTGCTAAAAGCAGCTGAGAGTGGGAACTGAACAACTGTCTGCTATTGAAGCTACTGACATTTAATTTAAACCAAACTTAGATTGAACATCTACCACAATATTGTTACCACAGATCAATTGGAGCCCAGACCAAAACATTTTAAAGAAATACATGCTTGTCTATAAGCTTCTCAGAAGGAAATGAAGCCCTGGGARAGCATCTAAATATCAGATGTTGCAAAATATCCCTAAAATACTCGGGTCATTATGTAAAGTTCGGCAAACAATGAACACTTGTGCTGACACACTGAAGATTAATTTTCTTACTGACAGCTGTGCAAACTCTCAGATCAAGCCCAAGAGATGTTAGCAATTAACTTGTCTGCAACAGAAACTGAGAAAGAGATAAGGCAAATTATACTGACAGCAGTATCTGTTGTGTGAAGTATTTTTATTTGTGTACYTTTCATGTATTTGAGCTGGGAAATTAGCAAAGATTAGCTGTTTTGTAAACAGATATACTGAGCATGACTGGCCTTTACTCAGTGCAGAGAGTACTAATGGGAATGAGAATCCCTGAGATCCCTTGGTGCTTCTGGTTTTCCCAGCACTGGCAAAAAAATCCCCATTTTGAAGGTGGAGCATCTAACATTCTTCCTTCCCATGCCTTTTTCCCTGTCCTAGCTCCAGTGGTGTGTATCATACAAACACACTGTGAGAGAAGGCATGGTCACTGTAACATGATTGTATAGACCTGTCTGTGTAGTTTTGCCCTTAGCCCACTGAGGCAAATGGGCATTTCAGAGGAAAGTCTGTCCCTTTTCTGGACCAYTGCTGCCATATCCGTAGGTAAACTGTGGTCTTTTTGTTAAGGGCTTAACTGTGATTCTATCTGCAAARGGAAATAAAAAAGCAATGTCTTAGTAAAATAAAATTTTTACAGACCTTGCAAAACAGGATTGATAGAATACAATCCCCCATTTCAGCTGTCCTCCTGTGTTTGTGGTTTGGGGTTTTTTTTTGCCAAACCCTCTAGGAATAGATACTAGTGATTTTTACCATGAGACAATTTTTATTTCCAGGAAAGAATATATGCTGATGCCATTAAAATGACATTTAGGTTGTTGAGCCTGTCATAGCATGTGTGCTCCTGTCCCTCGAGTACTATGTGATTGCTTTGATGCTTTCTAAAGTAACAATCCAATATGACCTTACAGAACCTGCAGCTGCATTGACTGGTTTGAAACCAAAGTAAGAATAACAGGGCAGAAATCATTAACGCTAGTTTCAGAGCAGTCCATAATACTGGACATAGAAAGTTTACACCTGGAAAAAAATGGGAACCATTTTTACCATATGTTTTGTAAACTCTTCATTGTTAGATACTTCTATCAGGTGTGAGATTTATTATTTTTAGCATCTCTCATCAAGCCTGTCGATTTGATGTAGCCAYGATCATATGAATGCACAGTGTCACTATTCAGAGAAAGGCTGCACAGGTCCCTGTTGTTCCAATACATTTACAGTAGCATCTGGGCCAGAGTGAATGAAASTGTGTGCAGGACATGTTTCTGGTCCCTTGCAGTCCAAGGTTTGTAGATTCATGTGAACACTACACCAAATTGGTTTAGTTTTCCTCTGTTTTGTTAAAATAACAGAACAGCCAATAAAATGCCACAAACCCTACCCTAAGTGTAGGGTCATCTACTGGTTTTCTTAGAAAGCATTTCAGAACCTGTAGGATAAACCTTCATTTGTTATAAACAATCATAGCTCCCTTAAAGCCAGCAGAACTTCTCAAGGTTACTTAGCAGCTGAAGGCTTAGCACCAGGCTTATACAAAACACAGAATCACAGAATCATTTAAGTTGGAAAAGATCCCTGAGATCATTGACTCCAACCTTTGACAAAACCACCACCATGTCAACGAGACCATGGCACTGAGTGCCACATCCAGTCTTTGCTTAAACACCTCCAGGGACAGTGACTCCACCATTTCCTTGGCTAGTCCATTGGAATGTCTAATCATTCTTTCTTTGGTGAAATTCCTCATAATATCCAAAACATATATGCATTCAAACATGTATGCAGCAGCTGGGTGTCTGGAGTGCCCTAATGTGACACCTGCAGGGGTGTGATTTTCARTACCTCCCATCTCTCACAGTTTTCACCATCTGCATGTTACCAGTGTTCACCTACTCATCCTGAAAGAACATCAWCAGCTGGCAGGGTCTGGGCTATCCCCAGCTCTATGTGGTGTCCTTCTCACCATCTCTTCCATAGATCTGTCTGTTTCTGAAACCACCAATACATAACTCTGCAGGACACAGCAGTTCTGTATCCTGCATTTAATAATAAGTTAATCTCCTTTACAGACATTCAATTGAACACAGCTGATGCAGATCAATAGCTTTTATCTGTATTCCAGGCCTGAGAAAATTTAATCATACAGAAACTAAACAACTATCTACTCCCTCCCCACTTCAGTCCTGCAAATGTAATTGTAGAAGTCTGTTTCCTACCTCTTSTCTAGTAGGGATGTGTCCCTCAGTACCCTGAACAGGACAAATGTGCCCAAGAAACCAGCTGAAAATTCAAAGCTGGGCAATAAAGCATCTTGTCTGCATGTAGGCTATGCTGAAAATTTGACAGAACTGGATGAGAAATGATTGCTGTCATACTCTAAGCTCAAACATCTGATACGACCTGCAGCATCCGTGGGTCAAACCTCTAATCTGACTCATCTGGCCACAAAAGGCTTTTTGAGAGTCCTGCCTAGAAACTGCAGCCAGGTGCTAGGCCTGAGTTTTTGAGGTTATGAATAGTCCCAGTTCCTTTTCRTGTCAGTGAACACTAAGAGGGCCCAGAACACTTTACATTTGAACTGTTCTTTTGTGGGTCAAAACTTAAATCCTAAAACCCAGGAGTAATAGGAAATTCTGCCACTGCCTTCAGAATGCAAGTTCTTGGCAGTGTGATTCTCCTGCACATAAAAAGAAAGGTACAGAATTCTGGACAAGGTCCTTCACTTTGCACCACTGTTTGGAGAGTGTCTGTGGCAGRAAAAAAAAACTTCCTTGTGTGCTCTGCTTTAATATTCAATACTTATCAAAGAACTTTTGTTTCTCAGGCCAAGCTTTCCTCCCTCCATACAACACGACTTCATGCTGCTGCCAGAGGCTCATCTTCAGGCCACCTCAGGGGCTCCAGGGAATTTCAAGAAGACCAAGATGTCAAATKCCACTGCCACAAGAAGGCAAGCAGAACACCTTCAGGAGACAGCTCATGCCCAGAGACAAGATCAAACTCCATTCAGGAATTTGCAGAGTCCTTTGAAAAGCAATTGCTTCTCAAAAGCAAACGCTCAGTTTCTTTGGTAGGTAACAACCAACTTAAGATCACTACAGAAGGAAAAATCCCAATCCACAAACAAGTCAGCTTTATCCTTTGTGTAATTGCTGTGACTTTACTGGGATAAGTACAGAAATAAATTAGAATTTCTCACAATATGTGGTCTCAAATTACTACAGTAGTACAAACAAGGTTAAAGTTGTAYCATTAGTGTGAAGATTCTTGTTGTGGTGTTACAGTCTAGGCTTATTCAGGAGTGTTTTTCCTCAAAATGAGACACCACACTGGCTCATGTGSCAATATTTTCAGAGGTTTCTATGGCAGTGCCAGCAAAACATGGCAATATAAACCCAACTTTGCTTTACTTTTGTGGCAAGACCCAGCTCACTTTTTCACTGCTGCTGACCTGACTTAACCTATATAGTGTTATCTGTAATACTGCCAGACACTGCAGTGTTKGAGATGCTTCTCTTTCACCCCTCAGGACTCCATCCATCTGCTTTCTGCAGTGTCACCACACAGCTGCAGCAAGAGCTATTGCTGTAARTGGCTGAAAATATTTTCACTGAAAGTGCTTGCAGGCACCAGGGGATTCTCCCCATTTCATCCTTCTCCCCATCATTCTATCTATAAGCCATGAGCATTTTTTGGTCTGGTGTTTGYTGATGAAGTAGCCAGTAACAACATTTTTCCATGACTTTAATATTTTTTTTTTTTTTATTTTGATACATAATATCTGCTGTATCATACRGTAGAAGAAAGGGYAATAAATCCTAACTCACTTTCAAGTATCAGAAGAACACTATTGAATTGTCACTCCATTAAAAAAGCTGTGCTTGAATAACACTTGACATTAGCTTTAAATAACCACAGAAAGAGGTAACAGTTTTTTCAGTTTCTTGACACTGACAGTTTGTATGGAAAAGTAATTTTCAGCTCTCTTTGCAGACCTTCTGCATAGCAAAAGGAAAAAAAATCCATTTTCAATAAGCAGCATAGTTACATGATTGGTCCCATAATTATAGGCCTTGCATGACAGTCCTCTAAGAATATGCAGAATTATGGYGATGACAGCACTGCTACACCACTGTCAAAATTTCAAGTGCATTCTCTAATCCTCTTTTTCCTCTTTAGGAACTATTCAGTTGATTTAATTTGGAAATTTACATTGCCTCATGTGCTGACATTCACCAGTGGCTATCTGGTTTATCATTTATAATTTCTCAARAATGCCTGTGGCTAGAAAGTCTGCRAGTRTGTAGTTGCTGCATGGTTAGGTATAGTGAACAGAATGTATTAAATATGGCYTCAGTTCCTGTTAAAAACTGGATTTCAGTGACCCTCTGTAAATCAGCAGTGAGGGGTGCTGAGCTGTATTTTAATCTGTTTTTTAAGCAGTCCCAGTTATAGTCATTCTCTCAGTTACCATTGCAGTTTGGGAGATGTAAAGGACTTGAGGATTTCAAAGAACTGAGCAATAGGTGAGAGATCTGAAAGCAAATTTGGGCTTAAACTTGTGTCTCCAAATGGAGCATTTTTTTGCATACAGAGCGCTGTGGGTGCAATTCAAACCACCAAGATCAGACAAGTGAACAGTGTGGGAAAGGTGATTAATCTCCCTCCTTGCATATTGCTTTTCTCTTATAAATGTGTCTTTGTTAACCCTTCCTGACCTTGTTTTCAGTGAAGTCTTTGCAGGTACTGAAGAGCCTTCAGGCACATAAAGATGGATCACACAAAAGGACAGAAACATGGAGTCTGGGCTGAAATCTCAGAGCTCCYCCCTTTCTCTCTCCTGTCTGCTCTCCTCTTCAAGACCACTGGGCCCCTGACCATCCTATCACATACAGAGTAAAGTCCAAACATGTGTGTTGCTTCTTGCTGAACTTTAGGGTGACTGGCATGGGCCTTGAATTTGAGCCCATCTAGGTAAAGCTGATCTTGGTGATGCAAGTTACTGGAATATTTTGTTACATAGTGAAATAAGATAATGAGCTTTTTTTTATTATTATTATTCTTGTAGGAGTCACTTTTAATTCCCTGCTATTTTTTTCCTGGCCTTTTAGCAACCTGAAGGAGCAAAGGAGAGACGAGAAAGAGAAAAATTGCATTTGAGAAAAAGCAAGTCTCATAAGAAAATGGGAGAGAAATCAGAGCCAAGGAGAGAGCGGGAAGAAGCTGAAAGTTCAGAAGCACCTGCAAAACATGACAAACAGTCTCCATCACAAGCAAGCATTCAGAARGGTTATGTATGCACGGGCAGCTAGAATGCATTGAGATAACCAATATTAACACTCCCCCTGAAGAGCAGAGGGAGCATTCCTGTTCTGTTTTGCCTAGAAGAGGCCTATTAGTTAGAATAACCCCTAAGCTGTAAAATAAAAGTAAAATTCAACTACATCACTGGCACCATGTTACTACCTTCTTTTCTTTACTTTTGTCATTAGAAATGTGACCTTTGTCATAGGAGTGTATCATAGGAAGATCCAAGTTAGAAATTAACCACCGTAAGAGTGTTTCAGGCAAATTTARCATTGCAGCAGGACAGTGGTGGATGTGTTCATTAAAGAGGAGACCACCATCTCTGTATAACAGAGCTGTGCAAACTCATCCAAAGCCTTATGTTTCTTTTAAAATTGAAAACAGGCTTATTGGTAGGTTTAGGAACAAAACAGTACACATAAACAAGCCAGCTGCTTCCTGGCCCTGACATTCACCAAGATTCGTCTTGAAAAAAGCAAAATTTTTTTGCTTTGACAATCTTTCAGCTCCAAATTGATGTAAGTAGAGAAGATAAGCCTGTATTCTCTTCTACACCAGCCCAATGTCTTGCTTCTCTCTACATTTCCTATCACTGCAGTGTGACTCTTCTTTCGCTGGCATCTCTCAGACTTCTCCCATGTCCTCAGTCCCATTTCCCTGGTCACACAACTAGTTCTTTCTCTCTGCTTTATCCTCATCACCTTGCTTCTTTTGTGGCCTTCCCCTTCTCCATTTACCACTTTATAATCCTGTCTTGTAGCTCCCAACCTCTTTTGCAGCATCTCTATTCATGCTTCATCAAAATTTGAGCTTTGCTGAAAATTCTCCAGTAAACCCAGAGATGTTCTGTCTCTCATATTTCCYTGTAATCTCTTCAAGGGGCTGCTGAGGCATTGCAACCCTTTTTCCTYTCTTCYTTTTCCCTTTTCCAGAACTTGGGCCAGACCAAGGGCATGGGAACWGGCTGTCTATGGTAAGCAAGACTTAGGAAAGCTCTGTTCCTCCAAGGATCTCCTGAACACAGGTGTAAATCTYGTCTCCACATGCTCACACATACACATTCCCACATTCCCCCTATGCCACTCTCTTCAACATGGCAGTGTTCTCTGCAGATACAACCATGCTGTCTTTGGGAATAATCTCCCCAGGCCTAATATGGAGAAAGCTTGATTGGGATAATACAGTTAGAGAAGTGTGAAGATTAATGCTGTCATGAGCAAAAGTCAAGGTCTGATGGATATTTTTCCTGTGATTTTCTGTAATTAACAAAGATCTTAATAATTTACCTTRGAGCCTTACTTTTGAATATTCAGCCCTTTAAAAGCTTGGGGCATCCTTAAAACTTTGTAACACTTGTGTCTGTTAAAAGATTGTGGGCATTTGTTTGGGTTTTGGTTTTTTGTTTGTTTTGTTTTTTTTGTTTGTTTTCATTTTTTTTTTTCTTTTCAAGGGCTTTGGGAGGTATATAAGAAAGCAATTGTACCCTTACAGATACTTGTAAAATTGCTTCTTTCCTGGTACTATATATTATAATCTAATAAATCTAACAATGGAAAAACRTCCCATGCATAGTTCTTGTCCTTACCAATCCAGATTGAGTTTTTACAAAGTTCTTTTGTCAGCCAAAACTTACATACAGATGGCTTTTCCTTTTCAACCTTAATTTGAAGACACATATACAATGGACCTGGATAGAAAAGAACCTGGCCAGCTGTGTCTGAGCTCCTCAGATGGAACCTCTCATGTACATCCTTTCAGRTGRCAGCCTGTCCTCACATCTTGTGAGRGAAGAATGCTGTGGCTGCATCAGCTTTKCCTGGGTTTCAGGCCACAGCTGCCTCCTCCTGTTTTGCCTACAGGTCAATTCAACAGGCCTCAGCATTGTTTGTGTTCTTCAGACCAGCGTGCTGGCTGCACACCTCACCTGATGGAAAGCAAACAGCAAACAGAGCTAGAATAGGACAGTGATGTGTGGCTGGCTCTTATTTGCAGGTTRGCACCTCCATGAAAGCACAGGGAAGCCTCACTGCCCCCMAGGCTGCCRGGCAGCTCTGCCTGYCARCAGCTCCCATGTTCCAYCRAATCCCATCTCTCTRATGGGAGAGTCTGTAAGTGTTCATKTGCTTTTGAMCYRACCCATCAGCCCCAYGAAGTGACTCTGAAAACAGAAGCTTTCACACGATGTCCTCTGTTTAGTCAAAAGTACTCTCTCTTGCTTTGTATCATGCCTGATTAGACCAGCAGCCCTTTCCAGCTCAGCCCCATCCAGTCTGAGGCAATAGTATTACTCAGAAGGACTGAAGCTTGCATAATAAATGAAATAATTTTCCACAGAAATTAACAAATATTCCATAACGAATCAGGCATTTGGGAAGGAAGGTAATCATCCAAAGAGGAATCTGATTGCAATGCCATGTCTGATACTTTCTGTTTCCACAGGAAGTGGAGCTACTACATAAGTAGTCAGAAAGGCTCCAGAGGGTTTTCATTCTCACAGCAGGTCACTAGTTCAGTCATGACTGATACGTAAAATGGTCATTACTTTGATTTCCACCCTGAATTCCCAGAGCAATGGAGCTGGCTGCAGCCAGTTTTGTACAAATCCATTTCTGAGCAAACACTGTTTGCTTTTTCTGYCCTTTCAAGAGTGGGGTGGCTGCAAGCTGTATCAGAGTCCAAACCTTGGACACGAAGGAGGTCAGTCTTCAGTGGAAAGTGAAGACAAAGGGATGAAAAAAATCCAAATGCTCATTAACAAGAAATACTGAAAACATGACACAGAAAGGAATAAGCAGAAAAACTGCTGTGATTCAGGGATCCATGAAGGATATATTAAACTTGCTGTGCATCACAAATGGAAGACCATGGTCTGATAAAATGGTCATCCCTGTGGAGTCTTCCAGCACTTCAGGCTAACTGTGGGAAGGGAAGATGTAGGTACATATAAGCCTTTCAAGAGTGAATGATACCCCAGTGTTTTCTGAGAGGGCTGAGAACATCAGTTGATGTTACCCTCATCTTCAGGTGGGTATTCCCAAAGCAAAATATTTATGCTTGCTTCTCACGGATGGTCTAATTGCAGCATGGTTTGGAAGATGAATTAAATTCTGAGTGCTTGTTAACTTATCATGTATTGACATATTAAATGCCATACCCCACAGAGGTAAAATGATGTAACAGCTGTATTTATGTACATGCTTTCAACAAGCCTTTCTCAGGAAAAAAAAATAGGAAATATTTAAATGCATAAAGAAAGTAAAAATAACTGAAGATAACAATGTATAACTGAAGAAGAATATAATATCCATTTAAAAAAAGGAACAAAACACTAAATAAAAAAAATGAAAAAAATATTCACCTGCAGTTTTTTATTCTTTAGCACAAAAAACAGTATTTGAGTAAGCACTGCCCTGGCTCTAAATGCACTCAGTGTTCGTGTGAATAGTGTAAAACCATATAAAGATATAATCAAGCCTGATAACTGTAATTTTTCACACAGCAATGAATCATAATCACACATCTTCAAACTTATCATAGCCTTCTGCCAAAACCATTTCCAGAGGGATTTTAGAGCCAAAATCTAGTCATTCAATGCGAGGATTGAACACTGAAACAACACAAACTTCCAAAAGAATGCAGTTGTTGTGCTGGAGCTTTAGGTAACTGTGTGAGAATGAACGTGAAAATAAACCCACTCATCATAGAAAACATTGCTTGTAGCATGTGGATTTTAATTTTCAATATTGTTTTAGACTGGCTTGACAGATGCTGTTCCTCCTATTAGGAGGAACCCTCTGAATCCCAGCTCAACATCTACAGTTCTTCGGAAAAAGGAAACTTCTCTCGCATGTGTCCTGTTCCTGAGGTCAAATATAAAATGAGAGAAAGAAGTGATACAAGGAGCAACAATATTCTGTCATACAAGATGCATTTTTGTCATTCTTGTATGTTTGTCAAAATGCCTCATTTCATACAATTTCTGAACTGATAGGATTTTGGTGTATTGAGAAGACCAACCAACTTGTGACTGTTGTGAGTTTTCATCAAAAACTGTTGAGGAACCTACAGGGAGTCCTCAGACCAGAGAACTAGTCCTGTTCCTGATAATGAATTACCAAAACAATAGCATTTTTTGTTCAAAAGCCTGAGCAGAAGGATTCATGGACATGGTTGTCTGCAGCCATATCCCATTATATGAGGTGAATGCTAATGTTCCTTTGCAAAGCAACCCTTCCTGGACCATTGTGCAGTGGCTTTCAGTTGATATACTGCTTTTCTTATATACACAAAATACATCTTAAATGCTTCTTGTGAGCATTTTAAATATAGTGGGTCCACTCCCTGAGGACTCCTATGCAGAGAAATTTGTCTGTTAGAAAGCAGTCACGGTGATTTTAGATTAGGACCAGTTTATTCCTGGCAGAGAGGAATGATTAGGGCATTTCTTTGCACCATTGCAGTGGTCCCAGCAGCAATAGAAAGTCCTCAGGGAGAGCAAAGTCACTTTAGGCTGTTCTCACCTGACAGGAGTGCAGAAGTGGCAATCACCGTTTAACCCAGGATTTGGGATGCAAAATATGCATTCATCAATTCCTTCTCCATTGTGCCAAGTTCTACACAACCTGTTCTACACAGCTGAAGTGAGGCCACTTCAGACAACAGATCTTCCATTCCTTTAGTGCCTTTTGCATAGAACAAAAGGATTCCCACATTAGGATAATCCAGGTCTCAACTGGTCAGTGGGTATCAACCATAATGTCCATCACTCTCTCAGGGTACTCACTGCAATGTGATTACCTAATCCAAAGTAATTCTGAGCTGAGAATGCTTAAGACTGATAAAAATTTCTTTTAAGCTGAAGCAAGAAGGTTTGGATCCATGTTCCATTTCTCATGGTGGCTTGGGGCCTGACAGGAGCACAGAACTTCACTGCATGTACAGCTTTCCCAAAGAGGGACCATGGCAAACCCTCAGGGCCTTATTTTCTGTTCCTTGCAATATGGAGAATAGAGGAAGGACAGATCTTGACTAAACCCTGAATGCTGGTGACTGAAAGGTGATACATCCGTGTGTTGAAGCTGCTGCAGTAATTCTGAATTGCCAGATGCTACTGGAAAGAACTCTCAGTATTATCTTTAATGGTTTT